TTCGGTGTCTGTTCTGTGCAGTGAGCGGCAGAGAAGCAGCGTTTCCTAGCACCTGTCGCTTACTGATTGTTTGGAATTATAAATATGAGCGTAGTTCGTCTGTTAATATCACATGCACTTTTTTAGTTTGTTGTTGTTTTTAGTTTGTTAATCAGACGCAGGCAGTGCGCTGCACGAGACATGAAAAGTAATATAGCCAAAACAACCGCATTGCCGCTCTTTAGTGTAGATGCATGCTGATTTTATCAGACGATGCCGTGATTATAAATGAGAGTGACTCCTGGTTAACATGTATTAAAAGGGGTCGTGTTTAGTCACTATGTAGTGTGGTATTTTTTGACAATATTCACTCATCATGACAGTAAAATAGGGCATTCCAAGTAAATATACTTTTTTATACCTGTGTGCACCAAACCCATCTTGAGTGTTTGCTGCTAAAAAGCTAATTTTTTTTTTGTTTCATCTGACCATTGAACCCAGTCCCGTTTAAAGCTCCAGTCGTGTCTAGCAAATACATATGCTGGAGTTTTCTAGTCTTTTCTTGAAACCCTCCCAAACAACAGGCTTTCTGACCCCAAGACTCAACTATTTTCTGCAGCTCTCCAGCTGTGATCCTCCTCGCCGTGCATTAGGACGATATAGGCACACGTCCTCTTACTGTATTAGAGACAAATATTTATTTCATAATGTGATTGTCCCCCACTTTCACTCTTTTTTTTTACTTTAATTAAAGGTTAGATTTTTTTTACATTTTTGAATGAAAGTTCAAGTGGATAAACTATGCAGATTTATTTTCACAGCCTTCTTTGATCATATTTACCAAGGGTATGAATAATTTTGAGCACAACTGTAATATGTGGTTTGAGATGCCATGAGAGCGAGTGAGTGATTGTTTTGTCTGGTGTGTCCTGTAGAGGGCGGTGTTTCAGGGTCTGTCGCAGGAAGCTCTGTCTGCCTGCATCCAGTCTCTCCTCAAAGCCTCTGATATCATTCAGAAGAACAAGGTGAGGCGTTTATATCTTATCTGTACACAGGACAATCAGTCAGAAATTTGAAATTCACTCCACTATCGTAAATGACCCAGAAACATTTTTTAATTAATAATTTAATTTTTTATTTTTAATTAGTGTATGAATTTTACATAATTTTTACAAATATTTTTTGTCATTTTATTTTTATTTATTTATGCGTCCTGAGAAATGTATTATTTATTAATCTATTGTCAATGATCCAGAAACAACTTTTTAATTTTTATTGATAATTTTATTTTTTATTAATTAATGTATTAATTTTGTAATATTTTTATTGTATTGTATTTATATTTATTTATATGTCCTGAGAAATTCATTATACACTATTGTAAATGACCCAGAAACAACTTTTTAATATGTATTAATAATTTTATTTTTAGTTAATTTATATTTAGTAATTTTTAATGTCTATCTATCTATCTATTGGGGATGCACGTAATCAGCCGATAATGGCTTTAAATGTAAATATCGGCATGAGCCCGATATTAAAAATGATGCCGATATGTATTGCCGATAAGAGGAATACATGAACTCACATCTGCTCAGGGTGTGCTAGCGATTAGATCAGGTCAGCAGTGTGGCTCATTCTTGAAGCAAAGTTTTTGCCTGAATAGTGATTGGGTTCACTGTTTTCAATTGCTGCATTTAATCTGAGAAAGCAAGTACAGAATGAGCATTCGGAGTGCTATAGAGTCAACAGTAATAGCACTCCCCCAGGGTCCTAATGCCCGTTCGGTAAGGAGTTTTTCTTCCGTAGGGGGCGCTGTTGGCCTACTTCTAATTAAATGAATGCAAATTACACAAATAATATTTAGACTGTGTTTCTGATTAAATAAAGCGTATTTGATGCCATAAAATCATGAGTATGTTTTGATTTAAAGGTCAGAAGCTATAGTTTACATGAACAACAACAAAAAATCACAAACATGACGCATAAAATTAATAAATTAAAATTTTTGAATATATATAAAATTAATACAAATTATATATATATATATATATATATATATATATATATATATACTGATTTATTCATTAATGTGTAATGTTATATTTTTTAAACAAATTATGAGCTCTAAAAGATTTTCAGAATTTTAACAACTCTTTTGCTTTAGATCATTTAAAAAAGTT